TAGTTGTATAGCCCTATTTACATGTACAGATTAATAGTGCTTTACACTGAATAAAAATTAAAAACCTTATATATCTAAATAAAAATTTACAATAGTAATGGTAGCTAAAAATACATAAGAATAAATTATTTTAATGTAATATATCTAAGTTAATGGTTGCAAAAAGCTTCATTAAACAGAAATGTTTTAATAGCTTTTTAATAGAAATGGGAAGATGAGCAATTTCCCAGTATTTTAGTAGTAACATGGACAAACCTAGAGCAATACTTGTTTATTTATAGGATGCAAGAATTCAAAGGAACAAATCAGTCATAGATCTAAGGGCTGGATGACCATATCTTTTGAGGTAAATAGGCCCAATAGAATTTGAGAGTCTTCATATCACAGGGAAAAAAGGTGTTTGCTTCAGTGGTATATTATTGGTAAATATTGGGAATTAATTAAATTTTTACCATGATAATCTAATGAATTATTGCCCTATTTATTGCAAAGATGGAATCAATACCAAATTTGAACAATGGGATATTGTCTGGTGGTGGTCCAACTGACATTGAGGTAATTAAATACCAATATTTTCCACTGACATACCACTTGGGAAATTAGTTCTTTTTCTGTTTGCATGAGTTGTTTGATAGTATGCAAGTTTTTTTGTTTGTTTTTTTTTGGGGAGGAGGGGTTTGTGGGGGTCTCCTTAAACATGACAGGGGTGCTTGTCCCATCCATAAATTGGGCAATAAATTACCCCCAAGTGCTATGCCTTTAGGGTGTTCAAATTCTTTCGTATTTTTGAGGGGGATTCAGCTAGGGGATTTATTGATACTGACAGAGCTTCATAGTTTCACTCACAGTGCTGTCAAGAGTTACTAGATCCAAGATATTTTTATTTAGGTAAAACTTAAATTTTTATTTTACATTTCTCAGGGTGCAAAATCACTTAGCCCTATTTTTTGCCATCTCTGATGGGCTAATTTCTGTTTTAAGACCCCCTCTAATTGTTATGGGAGTTTCCCCTCCAGCAAATTAAATTAAAGCCTAGACAAGTTTCCAAGATGTTTAGTGAGAAAAAAAATACATTATTTTCAGCCAAGATACTTTGTCAAATCATTATACTGCATTATGCTATTAAATGGTACACTTAACGAGTTATATTATGCCTAATTTTTTTACCATGCGTTTGTACATGGGAAGGGGGCATTTTGATAACAGAGCTGATGAATATTTTCAAGAAAAAGAGGGGAAAAACATATTTCCACTGAAAGAAGTTCATTACAAAGTTAGGCTTGGGTTCCTGGAAACTAGGATCACACATGCATGTTGTTCAACAGACATTCTATTCGGCTCCACTATTTCTGAACCATCCTTAGAAAGTAAAATA